AGATCTAAATTATATTGGTATTGTTGCCAGGTTAGAGGAGAGAAGAAAGCAAATGATTCGCAGCTGTTTTATTTTGTTATTTGGCTAAAACTGTGAATTGTTTCACATTTACAATTTATTGTAAGTTTTAGTAATGGATCATGGTTGGCTAATTACAAATAGTTTAAACTGATAAAAATCAAATATTTTACAAATATTTTTGTTTAATTGGTTTTGCCCATCCGGGGTTTTAGGAACTTTTTATCAACTTTTTTTTGTGAAGGATGGATGAAGTGTCTTCTGAAGTTTTTCAGGAGAGTGTAGATTGATTAGTTCAGCAAAATACATGTAATGAGGCTGAGGGATTGTTGTGAATCCAAAAAAAATCATCTGATCGTATTGAGCTTACAGGTTTGTGTCAACGAAGTGTAGATTTCTTTGTCAGAGTGAGACTACGTGCATTCTCAACTATTCATTCGTAATTGATCGTAATTGATTATGAACAAACCGCCAAATGACAGGACTGTTTTCAGTTTTGACATCGAGTTGGCCCTTGTTCGGTTTCAATACTTTTGCTGCGATGTCGGCTCCACACTTTATATCCCATGAGAGTTTTGTCTGCAGCAGGCAAAACCAATCGATTTTCCATTAATAGTCGAAGTGTTTTGCTGCTCGTTTCCTTTGATCTTCGAAATGTTCTCTATTTCATTCATCTGCACTTTAGTAACCCATTTTTTCTTATGATCTTATTAAATATTTTTGCAGAAGCTTAGTTTGACAATTTTGAAAGAATTGCTCATCCTAAAGCCGCTCTTAGGAAAAGTTGTGGGATTGAATTCTAAGGGTGGTATAGCTCGTTGGGTTAGGCCGACTATCGAGCATACTCAGGTTGGCCTGCATTGGTTGGTAAGGCCCGTCGGAGTGTACTTATGAGCATCTCTTTGAGTATAGTCTTTTAGTATTTTTAACTTTTGATCAGTGTTAGCTGGGGTTTTTTAAGCTTTGAAGTGGTCTCAATGGAAAGTCGTTTTGTGTTTCAAAAGAATATTTTAACCAGCTTAATCTAAATTGATATTGTGGGATTTTCCTGTACACGCTGGTGATGAGGTGGCGGTAGGAGACTGAGGTAATAATCTAAGCTTAATTCTTCATTTCAACCTGCATAGAGGGAAATTTAAAACGTGTGAAAGCCGTTCAAAGTTGTTATCATCTAGTTTGTGGAAATTGAATTTTTTTTTTTATTACAATCGTCATGCGAAGTTGTCAAGAGTTAAAGTATTTTTTGATAAAATTAGCGACGCGAATTCAAGGGGCAAGTTGGAGATATTTTACAACTTTTGTGCATATAAAAAAGTTAGTTGTATCTTTGATTCATTACTTTTTGTCAAAACATTGAACCGTATGACAAATTTTTTATTTACAACATTAAAATCACTGCTATGCAAATAATTTATTTTTGTATATTTAGATTTCACTGCGATAGGTGGGCTCGAGAAAAATTCAATGGGGGAAAAATCTATAGTGGCTGATTGTGTTAAAAGCTTTGCTAACCTGCTGATTACAATTTAGTGCGTAGGAGCGGCCAAAAAAGCTCGGATGCCTTGATTTTGTTGATTTCTTCTGAAATAATGGCAATCTTTTTGGATCAATTTGTAAAACTTTTCATTAAATTTCGTGCAATGGATGTTTTCTAATGGAAGGATTCAACATGTTGATTGTATTCATGTGAGATGATAATGGGCGGTATTCCTCTATGGGAAAGGTATTAGTGAGGTGGCAATATACATACACTTGTCGGGCGATCGAAGATGAGGAGAATGCCGTGCAGGTTAGTATTTTTTATGCAAAAATTGAAGTTTAAGAGATAAAGTGATGTGTACTTAAAGTTTAATACATTTATCGGTGGTTAAAGTTAGGTAAAAGTGAAATTTTTAGAAAAAGATTTTGGGCGAAATGATAGTATGTGGGTTAGTGGGTTAGTTTTTTTCAACATAAATTCGTGTGAGCAGTTAATATCTCGTTTTTCAGGTGTGAGAAACACGTATGAAGCTGTCGGAGCAAATGAAGTATAAAATTTGAGCTTTTGTGTTTTTGGTGACATGATCTAACTTTTTTTTACCACAGTGCAAGTCGAAAAGATAATCGGTTTCAATGAAAAAAAAGTTTTGGTGTGAAATTTGAAACTATTGCAGAATCGGTGTCGCATGAATAATCTGCCATGTATCGATGGACAGTGTGTTCACAATGAGCAATGGGGTAGTGGTTGGACTTGAGTGAATTACAACGGCTGAGGAGTTGTGACAAGCCAATGTCAGTAAAGTCTTTTAGTTGTATGGGATTAGTTAGCTGGTGAGATATATAATTCATTAAAAAACAATGAATGGGTCAGCGAAACTATAAAAAGAAACCCAAGGGAGTGTGGGAGTTAATAAGTACGCATTAAAAAAGAAATTCGTCGGCCTGAGGGTTCTTCTTTATCATAATTTTTTCGTGTGAAAAATAGGATGTTAATAATTAAAAGATCTTGCGTGTTAGTATGTGTAGGTTTCTTGCCTTGGAGGAGTTTGGGTGTGGAGCAGCGGTTGCCTAGATAGCTGGGTTGGTTTGTTGTATATTTTCTTTTCAGCAATATACGTTGTGCTCGAGTGCGGGTGTCCTGAATAGACGATGTGGATGTTTCTGAAGGTGAAGCGGAGTGGTTTTATTGGTGCATTGTTAGTGGTTGATTAATATTGTGAAATTAATGTTGGTTTTGTATAAAACTATCTACAACAAGCTCACGTCGATTGCTGGTTATTAGGCTATGTGTGTCGTTAATAGTGCTAGAAAGCGATGAGAAGATCTGGAAAGTTTCTGTATACGAAAAACTTGAGTTTGATGAAAGGGTGATTACGTGAACTGGGGGTAGTAATGGGGCGAAAAGGTTGATGTGAAAAGTAAGTAGTGGCGCATGGTTCGCAGTCATAAAATTCGTCGGAAAAGCCCACAGTGGGACTTTCTAAAAAAAACTGTTGAGTGCTAAAAACTGTTTGTACGGAGACATCAGAGTGCAGAGTGGATGACGAAAAAGTAAAAATAGAAAATAAAAAGCAGGAGGGAGGGAGGAGAGAAGTTCATTGATGGAAATTACAGAGGTCTAGCGCTGAACCTTCGAAGGGTAAGAAAAAAAATGGTTGAGGGAGTCGATTTGGCTGCTCATTTTGGGCTAAGACCATTATCGTTATGACAACAAAATTATTTGTGTAATGTTGGTCTAATTTTTTTTTCGTATGTTTTGTTCAAATTGTGTAGTTTATAAGTAGTATGAGAGACCCGGCTTCGGTGGATTTTATTGTCTTAATGAATACGTGATCTTGATGGAAAAACTGTTCTAGAATTTGTGGCTGGAATTAATTGTAATTGATTTCGGCTCAGTAAAATGTGCGAGTGTAAAAGCAACGTGTATCATATACAAGTAACATTTTATTCATTGAAGTTGTAAAATTCCAAAAAAACTTGAAAGAATAATGTTCGGATCACGCTTGCTTGTTTGTTGATTTGCGTATGAGCTGCACTGGTGTTGTATTTTGGTTTATTGAGTGAAAACAAAATTTCTATAAATTTGAACATTGCGTATAAAACTGTCAGTTTTTTCTAGAATGTAATAGGGCTATCCTAAAAAAGCTAAAATCTCTAATGTTTAAGGAACTAAATAAACTGATTGCAGAAAAAAGTTGAGGGACACTTGAAGTTTAACTTTCACTAAGAGGCCAAACTGTGCTTTTTGGGAAATTTAAAACCGGGTTGAAGCTCCACCGTTAATTATCGCTTTTTCTGTAGTATCCCAGTGATCGCTATTTTCCAGCAATAAATCAGAATTTTTTCCATAGCTAAGCCTGCGATGTTTCAGAGCTATTTCAGTAACGATTCCCTAGAAAACCATCACTAAAAGTTGAGAAATTTTAACTCATTCTAGTAGCTTTCGAATGAGAGTTCTAGTAAAAAAGCCGATTAAATTGGTATCATCTACGGGTTGATAGCTCGTACATGAAAGATATGTCTATAAAACTCAGGATTAGGGGTTCGAACTCCTACGAACTCGTTTGAGCACGATTTTTGCTAACTTTGATATTTTTTATCGCTGTTTCATCGCTGAAAATAAACCAAATTAGCAATTTTTCATCGATAAAATTTGCTATCGTGGCAATGAATAACGATGATTCATCGATTGGGATCAGTGTTTTCCTTTTCACTTTTTTATCGCTAATTTTCAATGCGAGCTCAACCCGGGAGCAACAAGGACGCTCCCTTTATTCTTCTTTTGTTCTTTCATTTTCTTTGATCGTTCATGTTTAATTAACATTTTAACATGTTTAAAGACTTGTCTCTGGAATCCAGGAACTTACAGACACAAAGTTATACGCCTTTCCAGTGCACAGTTTGGCCTCGTAATATTAGCAGCTAAAAATCAAAAGGACAACACAAGTTTTCTAACCAATACTCAGCTTAAACTTGACCCTGCACGGAAGTTTCGTGGATAACAAATCCGATTATATTGGATTTTTGCTGACTAAAGTATTGTCTATATAACCAATTATCATGGCATGTTTAGACAACGTAATGGATTTTAAATCCATTATAATCGAATATTTTCGAATAACAAAAATCCAATAAAATTCATTATAATCGATTATAATCCATTTTTGTTTTAAATATAATGGATTACTTTCTTGTACAAAAATTCATGAAAATTGATTATGAATTTTATGCCAATATGTAGTAATTTTCCAAAAAGTCATTTTGACCAGTTCCCCAGTACCCTCAAGTACAAACGTACCCCCTCCCCCCACCAACGAACTGAAATGTTTGCGAAGCTTTTTGTTGACCAATTCACAAAGCCATATTTGATTGCCCATGCCTTTCTAGTGGGTCAGTTTTTTGTGTTTTTCCTTGCTTAATTTTTGAGAAAAGTTTTCAATTTGTAGTTTCCTGGAGCGTTTTTTTTTCTATCAATTCTTTTGACCAGAATTTGCTTGACATACCTTTGCTTGTACTTGAAGTGTCGCGTGGACTTGTCAAGTTTTGTATTCTTGCGTTGTCTAAGGTCCCAAAATTTTGAACAAATGGACTCCTGTGATGATCTATCCTGCTGCTGTATGATCCGGAGGAAACAAAGGGTCGCCGCGGAAACAAAGCGTCCTCGGGTTGTCCTCGCTGACATTCTTCTTGGATTGTCAAACAGGGTATTTCGAATGGAATTTCGCTGAAACAAACTCAAACTGTTCAGAGAAGGTAATTCAGATGATTTGCTGTCGGTCGATGTAAAGTTTTTGTTGAAATGGTCCTTAAAATTTAGCTTTTTTTAGTAAAAGCTTGAAGTTGCGTTCAGTTTTGTTCCCTGGCGTAAATTCGGGCTTCATTGTTAGCTTCAAAGCATAATACGCCTAAAAATAACTGGGAAAATTTAGTTTTTATCCAACAAAAAAGGTATGTTATGGCTTACCCTTCAGTTAGTTTTCTTAAATTAACCTTAAAAGTCAGGAGTGTTCAAGAAATGTGCAAACGTCAGGGTGCAAACTTTAGTTTTAAGAATAAATTAGCTAAGAGATAGGCTTTAGTTGTATTTTTGCCTAACTTTTTCGTAGCTCAACTTCTAGACGATGTGTCAAAATTTGATGCTATCTTTCACAGCAAGCACCTGGTTTTTGCTAAGTTTCAAATCATTCACTTCAAAAAGCATTTTGCTTAACTCTAAATTGCTGCTGCGTCCTCCATAACGCCCAGTATAATACTTATAAATCACTGTAAGAAACTAAATTTATTAAATACAGAAGCTGTGGTTCCTATGCAAAACTTCTGCTGCAGAAATAAGGCAAACTCAAACAAAAAAGTTAAAAAACGCGCCTTTATTCAATGACGCCACTGCAAAATAGAAGAAATAAAAAGACGCGAAACTATGGCGAAGATTCCGTTTTTTAAGTAAGTATAGGAAACAGACTTTTTCTTAAATTTGAGTTGAGGAGGCAGTTCATTCGGGCAAAGACTGCTTTTTGTTAAAATTTAAAAATTTCATCACTAAAAATGATCTGAACAAAATTTTACCCCGAACATATATTTTTTTATTTCATAAACGAAATCATAAGGCTTAGATTTCATTTAGATCTTAAGAGTAACTTCGTTGACAAACATTTTATTCAAATAAATGACATAAATAGGCGAAAATCTCAAAGAAATTGAAATGGAAAGGAAAAATTCAACGAGAAGTGGAAAGGAATAAAATTTTTTGCAAAGTCATGGCTTTTGTGGCTGACAGTTTGACATAAAATGCAGTTATGACTTTTAATGAAAGCTTTTCTTCGGGTATTTGTTGCTCAAAAGTGTGTAATTCCTGCATCCATGTCCAAAGATAGACACGATAAAAGTTTTGAAGAATTGAGAACATCATCCAGATGTTTTGAAAATTTTGAAAAGAATTGTAACGGTGTCAAGCGTGTTTGTAAGTTAAAAACAAATTTTTGTAACACCTACCAAAGTTCCAGGCAATTTATATCATGTTATAATCGAAGGTCGTTTCATGCACATTTTTGGAGTTGTCTTGAATGATTTGATTTCCGACTATGTGACATTTCATGATTTAAATTATAGGATTAATCATTTTGAGTACGGTCGTGGTATTGAAGGAAAGCCGTCAGAAATAAGTTATGGTAGGGTCAAGGATAAAAGTGGAATTATGACCAAATTTTTACTCTATTCCATTTTCTGCATCTGATAATTGTCGATTTCCCGGGTATGGATGATACATGGTTTTGTGTGTTGGAATTTTTGGATATTACTTCTTTTGTAATGACTCCTGCCTTTTTTCGTAACAATTAGGTCTTTGAACCTCAAAGTTTTTTTTGTTTAAGGGATTCGATACTCAGTTGACGATTTGCTAGTTTTATCCTTGGAAAATATTGACCCTACAACAACGATTTTTTGTCTATATACACATATTTTAAGCTTCAATGAATCAATTTCTATCGTTTGCTCCAAAATCAAATAAAAAAGTTATGAGCACCGTCAAGATAGTTTTTGGTAACTCATTCCCAAAAAGATAACACTCAAGTTGTACGCCCTAGAGAATTTTTCGATTTTTCGTTTGCTATCGCTGCATCACTGCTTCCTTGAGTCTTGTACGTTTTTTCAAGTTGTACCATGAAATCATTCTTATTTAATAATTATGCGTCTGAATTAGAAGCCTTCAGTTTTAGCTCTGGTTAGCTCTTTTTTGGTGCTATTAACTTCACCTATTGAAATGTTACCTGACTTTTAGAGTGCTATTATGAATGTCCGAAAACTTAACGCCTCGATAAAACTACTAGCCGAAAAAAAAGAGTAGAAGATTGAAGTTTTCAGCATGCTGCATTACATATTTTATCTTTTGACTGTAATTGAGTGACTTCTTGAATGACAAAACTCTGTTTTTTGGTGAATCAAATATGAAGTGTGCTTGAAATGCTACAAAAACTTTGATCAATTTAATAAAAATGATAGAGCTGTTAGATCAGGACAATGCGCTCGACACCTTCAATCTCTCTATCCAGAAATCCTGTGGTTCGAAGATTTTATAATAAAAGTTGGTGATAATGATTTTAATAATACGGACAATGCTGAATTAAGTAAAGTATATAAAGATTTGAGTGATCATATACCCTAATTAAACATAAAGCAGTATGTCAAAGTGGTTGTAGTACTTTCGAGGAAAGACCATATCGCGGAAGCTGTGAAGGCATCAGGAGAAAACTGAAATAGGCTTTAGCCTCTGATATCATCCCAAACAACTCTGTTTCTCTTATTCTTTTAAGAAAAGACGAACATTATTTTCTAAAACCGGAATTTTTTGGAAGTTTTGCAAAATCATTGAAAAATTGCAAAAACAGTCCTCCCAATTTAAAAAAAAACGGAAAAAAGGTAGCCCAAAAAAACAAAATTCATGTCCATGATTTAAAAACTGCAAAGTCTTAAAAAGTAAAAATCTCAAAATATTGGTATGGCTGCTTGTTTTCATCCATTCAAGAATTTCACAAAAAACCCAAATTTTTAAAATGTACATACAAAGTTCTCAAAAATATCTCAAAAATTAAAAAACTCAAAAAAATTGTCTTTTTGTTTTCGTTCATTTAAAAAATTTAAAAAAAACATGAAAAAATAAAAAAAAAATTTTTTTTAGGCCTAATCCGATCTTAAGGCCTAACCTGGTCATATTTCTTCCAACCGGAAAATTATAAATGCCTCTCTCTTTGGTTTCATGTATTTGTTTTTTGCATAATTTTTAGTAAAAAGAATACATTAAAAGCCAGATTTATATTTTCTGATATTGTATCTTTTTGATAGAACGTCTCTTTTTGATTTTTATGGTCTTACTCCTAAATTGCATCAGTTATTTTTTAGTTAGATTCAGATTTGAGGTCAAACCTTTGTCGAGTTATCTTGAAATTAGGGTCATTTTTTTCTCTTTTGTGTTCAAATCTTTGAACCCGGTTTTGCAATCATAAATTGAAGGGAATTAACCTTATCCATTTTTGATACTGATATGTTTTGCAACCTGAGTTAATCCTAAAGCCTTTAACTATACAAGCTGACTTACTTCAAAGTTTTAGTGGCTTTAAATTCTACTCTGATTTGGAATTGAAACCTTTTCGGGGTTACTTGTAATCAGTGTCAAGGCATAACCACATTTTCAATAGCTACTAAATTTGTTAATCTAATTAAACTAGTGAGACTAAAACTTTTTCGCGTTAATTATCTTGTGTTTATAATTTTTCGTATTCGGGTTGTGTAATTTAAATCAGGTCTTTTCCCTCAAACTTAAACTGGAATCATTATCTTGTTGTTCACTCTAAATCATATTTTAACATAACTATTGTTGAGTAACATTAGTCGTAAAGCCCTAAAACTAACCAAAACTTGGTAAATTGAATTTGATTTTTTTTCGGCCATACGTTCTTTTCAAGTGTGTCAGAAATTAAAAGCTCTAAAATTGACGCTGATTTGGAGTTGAACCCTTTTCGGGTTGATTTGTAATCAGTGTCAATGCATAACCATGATGTGCAGCTAACTTTGTTAATCTAAATTAATAGTTCATTTTCGACTTTTTTCGGGTTGGTCATCTTCTGTTTGTAGATTCAATTTTCATGTTGTGTAGTTTAAACCAGATCTATTCCCTCTGCCTTTAACCGGAGTGTTTCTCTGGTTTTTCATTCTAATTCATAATTTATACTTAACTATTTGATGAAAAAAGTTGTCGTCTAGCCCTAAAATTAACCAAGCTCTGGCCTTTCGGTTTTCTCAAACAGGTCCAAAGTTGGTAACTTTAAAATTGACTCAGGTTTGAAGTTGAAACCTTTACGGTCTCACTCCTAAACACATCAGTTTTAACTTTTAGTTAGATTCCGGTTTGAGGTCAAATCTTTGTCAGGTTATTTTGAAATCGGGGTCAATATTTTTCCCTTTGGTTTTTAATACTTTGAACCAAAATTTTGCAATCGTAACCTCAAGGGAATCAAGCACTTGTCGCTCTTGCTAATCCATATTTGATTTTTATTAGTTTTGCTATTCGAGTTAATCTTAAAGCTTTTAACTAGGCAAGCTGACTTAATTCAAAGTCTGTAAAAGTTAGTAGCTTTGAAAATGACTTAAGTTAGAGTTGAAAATTTTTCGATTTTACTTGCAATCAGGGTCAATGCAGAACCACATTTTCAAAAGCTACTAACTTTGTTAACCTATATAAACAGCTGAGGTTGAAAATATTCTCGAGTTAACCATCTCGCTCATTTGAAATTTTTTCTGGCTTTTCGGTTTTCTCAACAGTGTCAGAAGTTAGTAGTCTTAAAATTGACTCTGATTTGTAATGAAACGTTTTTGGGTTTACTTGCAATCAGTGTCAATGCATAACCAAGATTAGAATAGCTACTAGCTTTGTTAATCACCTACTTTGTTGAGGTTCGAAATCTTTTCGGGTTGATCTTTTTTTGCTTATAATTTTTCATGTTTGTGATGTGAAGTTTAAATCAAACCTCTGCCCTCCTATTTCAAGCGGACTTGTTTCACTAAGTGCGATTAAAAAAAAAGAAAGCAACAACCTTTTGCTGTTAAAACTAGCAAGGTGGTGATATCATTTTGATGAACTATTTAATTTTTAGATAATTTTTCACTAAAACACCTTAAGAAACTCAGGTAAACTTGCACTAAATTTAGTACACCGTAATTTACCTTAAAATAACTTAAAACTTTAACTGAAATCATCTCAAAAAGTAAAAAGTATCAGCCTTAAAAAACACCTGCAAAGTTTTTCATAGGTAAATTTACCTTAAAAAGTTAACTCAATAACCTACCTATCTTTGCCCTAATCTTGAGGTATTTTTATCCAGAATTTTTCCCTTAAAAAGACACAAAAGTTAAGATAAAATAACCTTAAGTGTTAAGGTAAAAAAAAACCATAAAATGAAGAGAATTAAGGTGTTTTCCTTAACAATTAAGGTTATTTTACTGAATTTTTGTGTCTTTAGGGTAAAAATGTCTTGACGTTAACCTAAATATAGGAAATTCATCTACTTTATGAAGGTAAAATTACCTATAAACAAGTTTTTAAGGTGTTTTTTCAGGCTGATACACCTGAACTTCTAAGGTAATTTAAGGTAAATTCTTAAGTTGTTTAAAGGTAAGTTAAGATGTACCTAGTGTAGTGCAAACTTACTCTAATTGTTTAAATGTTTTAGGTGTTTTTTAAGGTAAATTTACCTTAAGCTTTTCTGAGTGTGGATATTGAACATTTGCATGAAACAATTATTTTTGTAACAGTTTGTTGTGAACCATTTGTAGCTTTGAAACTATTGCAGAAAAGTTTTCTAATGCAAAATATGTTATTTGATGGATCTTACGTCAGTGATGGTGGGTAGGGAGGTATCAACAAGTGTTCGTATGCTGAAATGTTGTTGATGAAAATTCCTGGAGGGCATTCTGCTCGAGCTTCTGCATCGGTAAATACTTCATCAAATGATGTCCAATTGTCTGCAACTAAACACCCGCAGCCTGTGTAATGGCATTATTTGAAAAGAAAACCTGTGAAAATAACTCAGAATTTCTAGCGGAGATTTATTTCATTGCCGTTTGTCACAATACTGGATGCTATGGTCAGCAGGTTAAGACACATGGAATTTTTATAAATACAAATTTTTTGATTCTTTTAAGAAGAAATGAAGTTGTTTCATTTTCTTATCTTCTCACTTTTCATCGATCATAAGCATTAAATCAAAAACAAAACGTTCAAATAACAGCCCTTTGATGAGGTCCAAACTCTATTGGGTAAAGATCTAATTATTTCCTAAAACTTCAAAAGTAAATTAAATCAAATCATTTAAAGAATCATTTAAAATGAAAAATATACACAATGTTTTTCGTCTTGTCTCTTTGATCCTTCTGAAAACTCAATTTTATCATAACAGCTGTAAACATTCTTTTTTGTTGCATAAAATATAAATGTAATTTGTTAAAAATAAATGTCAAACAAGACTGCCCTTATATTAGGGAAAGCCCTGAATGTTCCGACTTCCTCTTAATCCATACCAAATAGCTTTTGGGAAAAGAAAATTTTGAAAAACTATAAAATTTGGACAATAAAAAAGATGTGAAAATAGAACAATTTTGTAGTGCGGCGGGATAAATTACCATGCGTAAATAGTTTGCGTTACGCTTTCAAAATTATGAACAAAATCTTTAAAACGCGCATAAGTTTGCCCAGAGCAAAGCCAAATTGGCTGACATGAAAACCTCAGAACTTTTCAAAAACTGATCGGAGATTAAGTATCTTGTTGTGTTTGGTTCCATGTAGTCAATATCTTCAATTAGGTAAAAAAAAACTATTATTTCGATCACCGAAAATCGACTGAAGAAAAAACCACACCATAAATATTCCGTTTCCTTGGAAAGTCGGAACAACTGGAACTTTTCAGGGCATCTTTCTTAAATAAGCACATAAAAACTAACACTTTAAGCGCCATAAAATCTATTTAGGAATTGTCAGCTTGCCAAAATCACCTAGGGTATCAAATTGACAAAATGATTGTGAGATATAACTGTTTATATGTTATTAAGCACCAATGAATGCTAGTTAACAAAGTAATTCATATAGAGGCCTTCAACCGCTAAAGCACTTCCATTTTATCAAAACTTCAAAATTATGTAAGAGTTATCGAAGTTATGCAAACTTTATTACGATGTTGGTTAGGCTGGTTTATATATCTTGCGCCTTTTTGGTTGGCTTACACTTTGGCATGTTTGTTTGCACTCGAGCCGCTTCCAAATTAACTAACTGCGTTAGATTTGACTAACCCTTTTCGGCCTTTTTGGTATTCTCCCAAGCCGAACTAAATTGTAATTGTACAATTTGATAGAACGTATGGTTATAAATTTTGGCTTGAAAATAATTTTATTATTATCTCTTGACACCGCACCATGAAAAATGATAAAGCTTCATTGATAACGCAATAGTAAAAATTTTATAGGCAATCATAGAACTCTAAATAAAGTAAGTTCAATCCTTTGCAAAAAAAAAACAGAATTAAAAAAATGATTTTTTTGGGAACAAATTTTATAAATCAAAATGCTGAGTTCGCTGCCCATCAACGGCTATTTTTTCTTAACTTCGGAGAGAGTGACTGAAAAATTCAGCTCGATGTGATTTTTTAAAGTCTTTTCAACTGGTGATTTGAGCATGATTTTTGAATAATCTGACAACTATTGATAACTTCAGCTCAAAATTTAACCCGACAAAAATTAGTAAGGAAATTTTTAAAATTTTCAAACAAAGCAAATAAACGACAACAAAGCTTTGACCTGATATGAGAAGTCTTTTTTTTTTGCGAAATGAGCCTTTTTTATCCAATGTCAAAGATCAAAAGTATTAGCTGCTTAATTTGCTACTAATTTTGATTATTAGGCTTAACTAAGATATCCAATTAATGAAAATTTCATATATAATTCGGGTTTGGATTTATTACTAATAAGACTGCTCGTATCAGGGCGAGGCCCTGAATGTTCCGACTGCCGTTTAAGGTCTTGGATGCAACAATTAGAAAAAAATTAAGTATATTAAAATACCTTGATTTTTTTAGGTTAAGATCTTGGGAGGATGATTTCCGCTAAAAACCTTAACCTAAAAAAATCAAGGTGTTTTAATATACTTAATGCCATACAAATGTTGAGTGATAAGGCTCTTTTTGCTCCATCTCCCCTCCCACCACACACGAGCTTCAATTTTTTAGTGTAACGAGCAGTTTTACAAGGCTGATTATGAAGACCAAATGTGTTTGTCGTGGCCTTATTAGTCTGTATCTCAATTTTAATAACAATTTGATAATATGGTCATCAAATTGATTTGTAAAAGTTGCAGGTGGGGTGAAAAAGAAAAAACGCCAGTAGTATTTTTTGCCCCTAGTAACAAATCTAATATGGCAAATAAGCTTCCTTCAGCCGATTTGAAACGAAATCTAATACGGATTAAAACTCCACTTATGCATTAATAGCATTTTCTCCGCTAAAGCACTTTCATTTTTTCAAAATTTCACTTTTGATTTTAAAATGAGATTTTTTTAAATTCTCTCCAAACTGAGCAGCCAAACTGAGAAGGATCAACCAGTTCAAATACGTAAAGGTTGTATAATAGTTATGCAAAAATTATGTAAGAGTTATCGAAGTTATGCAAATTTCATTACGATGATGGTTCGGCTGGTTTATATATCTTGAGCATTTTCGGTTGGCTTATACTTTGGCATGTTTATTTGCACTCGAGCCGCTTTCAAACTAATTACCTGCGTTGGATCTCACTTACCAGTTTCGGTCCAATAAGGACTCTGACTGCTCCTATTAGGACAATTAGTTGAGTGTTTAGACTGCCTTGTAAATTCTACTGATTCTTTGCACTCGTTTTTTCCTAAAATAAAAGACATCTATATTTGCGACAACAATCATTTTTTTGTTAGCTAAGAAAAGTATACGAATAGTTTTGCTCATGGGGCTACAACCCGACAGGCTGATGCCTTTTTGGTTTTCTCCCAAGCGAACTAAATTGTAATTGTACAATTTCATAGATTGTATGGTTATCAATTTTGGCTTGAAAATATTTCTATTATTATCTCTTGACACCGCATCATGAAAAATGATGATGCTTCATTGATAACGCAAAAGGAAAATTTTTATAGGCAACCATAGAACTCTCAATGAAGTAAGTTCTTCATTCTAAAATTAATTTTAAAAAATAGAATTAGAAAAATGATCTTTTTGGGAACAATTTTTATAGTTCAAAAGCTGAGTTCGCTGCCCATCAACCGGCTATTTTTTCTTAACTTCGGAGAGAGTGACTGAAAAATTCAGCAAGATGTGATTGTTTTAAATTCTTTTCAGCTGGTGATTTGAGCATGATTTTTGAATAATCTGACAACTATTGATAAGTTCAGCTTAAAGTTAAACCCGAAAAAAATTAATTTGAACAAAGCAAATAAACGACAATGAAGCTTTGACCTGATATGAGAAGTCTTTTTTTGCGAAATGAGCCTTTTTTTATCCAATGTCAAAAATCAAAATTATTAGCTACTTAATTTGCTACTAATTTTAACTATTAGGCTTAACTAAGATGTCAAATTAATGAAAATTTCATATATAATTCGGGTTTGAATTTAATACTAACAAGACTGCTCGTATCAGGGCGAGGCCCTGAATGTTCCGACTGCCGTTTAAGGTCTATGAAGCAACAATTAGAAAAAAAAATAAGTAAATTAAAATACCTTGAATTTTTTAGGTTAAGATTTTTTGTGGAAATCATCTTGGGAGGATGATTTTCACAAAAAGTCTTAACCTAAAAAATCAAGGTATTTTAATCCATATAAATTACTTAGTAATAAGCCTCTTTTTCCTCCATCTACCCCTCCCACCTCACACGAGCTTCAATTTTTTAGTGTAACGAGCGGTTTTACATGATTGATTATGACGACCAAATGTGTTTGTCGTGGCCTTATCAGTCTGTATGTCAGTTTCAAAAACAATTGGACAATGTGGTCAACAAAAGTTTTTGTTAAAAAAATTGCAGGTGGGGTGAAAAAGAAAAAACGCCAATAGTATTTTTTGCCCCTAGTATTAAATCAAATATGGCAAATAAGCTTCCTTCAGCCGATTTAGAGCAAAATCTGATACGGATTAATAATGCATTAATAGTATTCTGGCTTTTGTAACTCGAATAAAAACAGGAAACAGAATCGGTTTAATTCAAGAGAATCAATAAACGCGAATTTTAGTAATTTATATTGCACGGAATTAGCAACAACATTTCACGTATCAAGTTAAAAAGTGGGCTTGTTCAAGCCCGTATTTGTGTGGTTTTTCACAATGAGTTCATACTTAGTTCACGCAGTTTAATTAACAGAAACTCAATTGCAAACCAATTTTGGACCGATTAAAATATTAGCATTTTATGTTCTGTCAGGTTCGGCTCAAATAGGATTCCCAAATGAAACGACTTAGGTGCGAATCGAACCCACGCCGAACTCCCCGTAACGCACTTTGTATACGCTGAGCTATATAGCTGGTATTGCTAAGCAACTATACTGGCTTTATACTATACTTTCAACTTTAATGCTATGTAGCATTAACAAATAGCACTTTCTCCGCTAAAGCACTTTCTTTTTTTCAAAACTTCACTTTTGATTTTATAACACTTTTTTAAAATTCTCTCCAAACTGAGCAGCTTAGTGGTAAATAAACCAGTCGAAGCATAAACCAGCCAAAGCATCAACCAGTCGAAAATACTTAAAAGTTGTACAAAACTTGCGCAAAAATTATGTAGGAGTTACCGAAGTTATGCAACTTTTATTACGATGTTGGTTCGGCTGGTTTTCATATCTTGCGCATTTTCGGTTGGCTTATACTTTGGCATGTTTATTTGCACTCGAGCCGCTTACAAACTATTTATCTGCGTTAGATCTCACTAACCAGTTTCAGTCGTACCAGGACTCTGACTGCTCCTATCAGGACAATTAGTTGAAGGTTTAGACTGCCTTGTGAAGTCTACTGATTCTTTGCACTCGTTTTTTCCTAAAATAAGAGACATCTATATTTGCCACAACAGGTGGGGTGAAAAATAGAAAACGCAAGTTATATTTTTTGCCCCTAGTAGCAAATCAAATATGGCAAATAAGCTTCCTTCAGCCGATTTGGAACAAAACCGAATACGGATTAAAACTCCGTTTATGCATCAATAGCGCGAAATCTATCGCAGTTTAATTAACCCAAAATGACACTCTTCAAACCCCCATAACTTTAAGAAATCACAAGTGAAATATCTTTTCAAATTTAAGCTCAGGACAACAATATTTTTTGGAATGATTTTATAAAAATCTGTGAAAAAAGGCTAGTTAAAAAGTCGAAATTTAACTGAAGAAAAAAAACCACCCCGAGCACAAATATTCCGTTAATTTCGTTACAAAACTCAAAACAACAAGACTGCTTCTAACAGAGGACAAACCTGAATGTTGCAGTTGTCATCTAAAATCAAAGAAAACATGCTTTTTTAAAAAGAAAAAGATAAGCTTTCAAAAATATATAGATTTAGAAAAAAATGAATTTTTCTCAGTGCTTGAAGTAATTATCCCCCAACGTTATGTAGAGTACAAACAAATGTAATTACAGTCCAATAATAGTTCTAAAGAGAGCTTTCTTCAAAACGAATTAGAACAATTTCCGGATCGAAAAAGAAACCGTTGCTCACGTGTTAGTAGAACAAAATATATCGCGCTATGATTTTGTCCCAAAATAGTCAAAAGAGCAGTTTTCAAAAAAAAACGTTTTAGGTTCGATTTTATGCCTTTCAACTTCATATTTTGTCTGAAGAAAAAGTAACCACAGCAAGCACACATATTCTAACGTTTCTTCCAAGTCAAAACAGCACAATTTTTCGTAACAGTGTGTGGCTCTATGAGGTCTATGTAATGAGTTTTAATAGTTTTTTTTTGAAGCGCAGTTCGATTGAGTATGATAAACCGCCGATATACCCTTTTTAAACAAGACTGCTCTTCTAAAGCAAACAAGCCCTGTGTAATCCGAATGCACCTTAACCCATATCAAATAGCTTTTGTTACAGAAAATATCAAAGATCAAAATTAAAATTTTGGGTCGTACGAAAATAGTACGACCAATTAGTTTGCCCCAATTCGATTTGGAACAATTTTTTTGTGCAGGATAACTTGCTACGCAGAAATATTTCAGCATTATGAATATAATCTTCAAAGAGCGCATAATTTAATGCAGAAAAAGACCAAACAAAAAGGCATTTTTTAAAGTATGATAAAAATTTGTTGAAAATTATTATTTCGATCGCTAAAAATTGGCTGCATAGAAAATCACCTCAAGTATAAATATTCCGTTTTTTTCGAAAGTTGGAACATTTAATAAGTGATAAAATTTCAAAACTATTAGAAACGAAAATTGAATTTTTTTTCATTTGGTCTTTGAAAATGTTCCTTCCATATAAAATACCACTACGCCTTCCTTCTATATTCAGTACAATCTGATGCAGTTAGCAACTGGTAGCGTATTTTTAAAGCCAAAGAAGTCAAATTAAAAAACGCTGCAAGTTCCAAACGCTGCAATTTTTTAACCTGCAAGTTCCAGCACACATGACGTATCCTTTCTTCGAAGGGCAGTTTAATACATAACGCTTTTTAGCGGGCGAATGTGGGGCGAATGATAACACTCCAAATCAAGTATTTTTCACAATTTTGTCAAAAGCCAACGAACTCTCAAATATAAATTCAAACGAAAATATTTAGACTATCTAAGTTTTTTAGACTTTTCGAGTCATTGTATGAGTTTCCAAACTATTTTCGGAAACTTCTTAATAGCATAAAATAAAATTCCCGCATTGGAGTTCTATGGATAAAAATCGATCATAATTGAATTTCTTTGTCAGTGTCTACAAAAGTGAAAACAAATCGATTTTCATCAATTGGAAATGGAATATAATATTACGATTTTTGAGGCAACAAAATCTTTTTTCATCCATTACAATCCTTTTCTTCACTTTTGCTGACCTTGACAATGAAAATAAACTTTAATTGATTTTTACCACTTTACTGAGATGCGATTTTCAACGCACATAGTGTCTTTTCTACATTTTAAACTGAAGTTGGCTACGTTGGTTACTTGTTGTTCAATTTAATTTTTTTCTGCTTATTTTTGCTATTTTGTTATTTTTTTACTCAAAACTATGTTACTCAAAAACAGAGTTTTGTTCTTTTCAACGATTTTGTTAAATTATTAGAATTTTTTTGGGGAAGGGGAGTAAAGTTGGAGGTGGACTAATGCCCCTTCCATTACCCCTAGCGTTTGCCCATTTACAACAACCCCCCTCCCCGGAGTTTCAGGTGGGGAGGGGTGGGTTCAGGTGGGGGAGGGGAGTGGGCTCAGGTGGGGAAGGGGTGTGTTCAGGTGGGGGGTTGTTCAGTTGGTGGGGTGTTTAGGTGGGCGGGGTTTCAGTGGGGGCATGGGTTCAGGCAGGTGGGGGGGGGGGTGTTCATGTGGAGGAGGGGGTGGGTTTAGGTGGGGGAGGGTTGTTTAGGTGGGGGTTGTTCAGGTTGAAGGGGGGTTCATTGGGGGGGGGGGGGGGGGGGGGGGGTTCAGGTGGAGGAGGGGTAGATTCAAGTGGGGGAGGGGTAGGGGTTCAGTGAGGGGTATCAAAGGGGCATCAAAGGGGCATCAAAGGGGGATTGAAGAAGAGGAGCAAAGGAGCAAACGTTAGGGGGGGGGGAGGGGTTTGAGCTTAATGGAATCTTTTCGCAATTTGAGTTTAGGTTTAGAAATGGCATACACTCGTTTCGAAAATTTTCCGCATAGCTCTGCTCGACGCACTGTAACAAATTTTGCACGACGCGCAAAAATAAATTAAGTGGAAAAAAATCCATTTTAATGTGATTTCCTACTTGTTATAAAATCCCTTATACCGGATTCCAAAAGAATTACAAGACTGCTCGTATCAGGGCGAAGACCTGAATGTTCCAACTGCCTTTTAGGGTTTATGGAGCATTATTAACATTAAAAAATTGAATGTAATAAAACAAAAGAATTTTTTTTTCTAAATATTGAAATTTTTTACGAAAATCATCCCCACACACGCCTTATAAAGTACAAAAGGAGAAATTTTGCTCCTTGTATCAAATCAATTATAGCAAATAAGCTTCTTTCAACCACCAACTTCGAACGATTTCTAAGACAGTTAAATCTCCCCCTACGCGTTAATTGCGCGAATTATATCGCTCGTTGGTTGTCTCAACTTAGCCAAAATGAAAATCCTTAAACCCTTAAAACTGTACGAAAAGTAATCTCAGGTTAAATTATCTTTAAAAATTTGAACTCAGGACAACAATAGCTTTCGAATGATAAAAAAAAGTTTCCGTCAAAAATGGCTAGTTAAAAAGTCGAAGTTTGTCTGAAAAAATAAAACCCACCCGAGCACAAATATTCCGCTACTTTCGTATTGAAAGTCGGAACAAAAATGCATTTTGTTTCTGCGGGAAAAATTAGATTTAAATCCATTTTTAGTCCAATTTGAGCTCTTTTTCTTTCCACCCCCCCCCCCCCCCCCATCTCCCACGACCATCAATTTTTTGGTGTAACGAGTGGTTTTACAAGGTTAAATATGAAGACCGAATGTGTTTGGCACATCCCAATTAGTCCGCATGTCAAATTTCATAATGATCGGACAATTTGAACAGTAACTTCACCAGTAAAAAATTGCAGATGGGGGGAAAAGGAAAAAGAGCCCCAATTTTGATGTTTGTAAGTATGCCTTTGTAACAAGCTGATAAAATTATAGATATTTATTTTGTTTGGTTCTTTTTTCCCTAAGTTGAGAAAACACTAGTTTAAGAGACTTTGTAATAACGATTTCTCTTTTGAAAACAGTCCAAACTGCATATTTGGAAAAATTACCGTTCTACTACTAGCCCCCAAAACAAAAAGGCTTCTCATGTTTCATTTCAGAAAATTACTCATCTATACATCGTTGTTTTTCTAAAAATCGTCGTTTTGGTTTTTTTCCAAAAAATTCTATCACAAAACAGTCGTTAGACAAGGAATAAGATTTCAAGTACTTGCTTTTACTCAAAATAGGCTCACCTGTATCGGTTTTTTTGATGGGTAAGTTTTGTAAATTTCCCTTGTCGCAAACAGAAGATACACCTAAAACGTTCGGAAGAGAAGTTGATTTGTGGATAAGAAAGCTTCCAAATTCAGAAGCCATTCAAATTAAGTAACTGGAACGTTTTGTACAAAACAAATCTACACCGTTAAACCACTAAAAAATCTTTTTGTTACCGCACGTGCGCTTAACGTATAATTATGGCTCTTTTCCTTTCCCTTCATCCTGTTAAAGTTCCGATATTTATGTTTGTTTTCCATATGTTCCTATGGCTAAACGCGTGATGCGTGGTGTTATACGGAATAGCACGTTTCTATAGTCTCATTTAATTTGAGAGTTAAATTGCAACAGAAGTACGCTTATCTTATATCGAGTCTTTGATTTTTTAAATCAGATGAAAAGCCATTTGTTCAACGCTTTGCTTACAGCTTGTTTGAAAGAAGCCATAAAGACAACTCTTTTGATTTTTTTGGTACCCCAAAAACCCAAAAACCGAGAAATGATAAGCAGGAACATTAAAGGGTAGCAACATTTTAAGTTTGTAGCCCTCACAGCGTTTTTCATCAACTTTAATGTTAAATTGGATGATAAATTTTAATACTATCCACTGCATTTTTGAAACCAACTTATAATGGTTGACATTACATCTGATAGAACATTGTTCTCAGAATATTTTCAGTTGACATCGAGAACGTGCAAGAACTTATCTCAACAAGTGGAGTTTTGTTTCGAAATACCATCTTTTGGGTTGCCGTAATTTGTAGCTTTGATAAAGATGCGCCTAACGTTTTGCATCCTGATGTTGTCAACTGCACCTTGCGAAGACCGCTGAATTAGAAAATTATTCAATCCAGCTCCTGTGATATAAAAATTATGACAGCATAGGTTTTGCGGTGTAGTGTTCAAATCTTTTACTTAATATCGTGATCTTGAGTAGTGCCACACTTCTCGGTAAAAAAATAATCATAAATTTTTTAAATGTAAGATTTTTTAAAATTGTTTACGGTTAGTTCAAAATTCGGACAAGCTCCATTGCTGGATTCAAATGAACGGCTCCTTCAGGATAAATCCGAAGCACATCAAATCCGATGTGCTGCTACTTCTAGTAAAAAACAGTGAGACGAAGCGAAAACTAAGCTATGTAAGAAAAGTTTAGCCGCGGCGACACAGCCTATGAATAACGCGTTGCCAACTCAGTAGAGGTGAAACAAAAATTCAGAACGCGTTTTCAGTTCAGAAATAGTTTTCTCGTGTTTTCAGTTTGGTCATACAGTGCTGAGCAAACCTTGAATTTTCTAACTCGCTTTTCTCAAATTGGATTAAAATTAGACAAAAAGTGAAGAGTAAAAAAAATTGCTTAGAATTTCATCAGAATTATCATGGTACAATTTTTTCTCCGAAAATGTTAACCTAAATTTTACACCAAAAATGGGTCATTTTGGCTTTTTAACTAATCAAAAATGACGCTGAAACTATTTTGTTAATAGATGAGAAATTATATAACAAGAAGCCTTTTACACAGCCCAACAATTTTCTAGAAAGGTTAAATCTCCAAAGTTTTGATTAAATTACTTAAAATTTGTTTTTAAGCAAAGATTTTGGATTTTATATAGTATAAATCACCTTTCTTGACTATCAAGCAAAAAATGTTTCTCTTCACGGGTTTTTGGAAGTTTAACTTTTTGAGAAATTTGTTGGGCTGTGTAAAGGGCTTCTTGTGATATAGTTTTTTCATCTATTAACAAAGTAGTTTCAGCGTCAATTTTGATTAGTTAAAAAAGCCAAAATGACCCATTTTTGGTGTAAAATTTTGGTTAACAATTTTGGAGAAAAAAGTTGCAACAGATTAATTCTGATGAAATTCTAAGCAACTTTTCTTCTCTTCACTTTATGTCTTATCTTAACACAATTTGAGAAAAACGCGTCTGAAAATTAAATTTTTGTTCGTTTTGTCCGGATAATTTAAGTCAGCACTGTATATCCCGTCATTGTTTTATTAATTGGCTAAAACAAATAAAGATGGGCGCCCACAATTCCCTGCTACTTGAGGCAGATCAATTTGTATTTCCAAGTTGTATTGAAAGTCATATTCTCATAAAAGAAATAGGAAAAACAAGTTTTATAAAACTCCCAATGGTTTGTCAAGATCAACAGCGTCAAAGACTTCCTTAAAATATCTGCCACTAACATGAGATACTCCTTTTCAAGAAACTTTTCAAATTTCTGCAAAAAAATGTTAATTTGAAACCATATGCCAAAACAAGACTGCTCGTATCAGGGCGAAGCCTTGAATGTTCCGACTGCTTTTTAAGGTCTATGGAGCAGTAATAACATGGAAAATGTAAATGTAACGATGTGAAATTACAATTTTTTTTCCAAAATTTTGAGATTATTTTGTGAAAAAATCCCCCACATGCAATATGAAGTACAAAGTGATAGATGTTGCTCCTATTAACAAATCAGTTTTGGCATATAAGCTTCCTTGAACCAATTTGGAACGATTTCTAAGACGGATTAAATCTCGCTTACGCGTCAATAGCGCAAAATATATCGAGCGTTAATTGTCCCAAATTGGCCGAAATAGCAATCTTTAAACCCTCATAACTTTTACAGGTGAAATATCGTTTCAAATTTAAATTCAGGACAACAATAGCTTTTGAATGATCTAAAAAAATTCCGTCAAAAATGGCTAGTTAAAAAGTCGAAGATTGTCTCAAGAAAAAAAAAACCCACCCGAGCACAAAAATTCCGCTAATTTCGTATCCAAAGTCGGAACAAAAACGAGCAACATCTTTTTCTATGAAACACCGCCTGTACTATTTTTGCTCACCGACTGAATTTACAAATCAACACAAACTTTCCGGGTCACCGTTAGTTTTAACAAAATATTTAGGTCAAAGCCAAAACCATAAACGATACGGTTGATGCAGCCTTCTTAGTTTGGCCGTGTCTAAAGGACACGAGTCCCGGGTCGAGATCCCGCTCAAAAACCGCTCAAGATTTGAGCGGTTTGAGCGGTTTTCCAGCAAGATTTGAGCGGTTTGAGCGGAAAAACCGCTCAAAAACCGCTCATTTCTTGCGGTGATTTTTGAACGGTTTTTCAAGCAAGATTTGAGCGGTTTGTAAGCGGTTTTTGAGCGGTCTTCCCGGGTCGAGGTCCCAGACTCATGTCCATACTTTCGCGACAAAATTTTGGCATGTCCAGACTTTCCGGACCAAAATTAGGCATGTCCAGGCTTTGGCGACCAAAACATGGCATTTCCAGACTTTTGCGACCATGATGATCCGTTGCGACTATCGCGGCCGAAGCAGAGGTGGCGCGACCAAAACATCGCGACTCATATTTGGTATGTCCAGACTCTCGCGACCAAGAGTTGCTATTTCCAGACTTTCGCGACCGAAAAACTAAGGCGCGACTTTCGCGACCGAAAAACTACGGCGCGACTTTCGCGACCTAGGCGGATATGGCGCGACCCTGAGGGTCAGGAAATGGCGTGACCGGCGCGACCAAACCTAGCTATTTCCAGACTTTCCAGAACAAGATGGAGACGGCGCTACTTTCCAGACCAACATGGAGAAGGCGCGACTTTAAAAAAGTTTTTCAGGGATTTCTCGACCATGGTGGATACAGTGCGACTCAGGAAACGGCGCGACTCCAAAGGCAACGGCGCGACCGTTTGGCCAGCGCGACCAAAATGTGCACTTTCAAGACTTTCGCGACAATGTGCACTTTTCAACGTTAAAAAAATTGCTCGACGGTTTTGTTAGAGAATCTTCCATGCCCGCTGTCTTCTCGAGAAGGGACCCCAATTTGAGAGTGTTCGCCTCTTTCGAAGCAAGATTTGAGCGGTTTTTTAGACGATTGCGCTCAAAATCGTGCTTCAAAATGAGCAGTTTTGAGCGATTTAAAAAAAAACGCTCAAAAAACCGCTCAAGACTTGAACGGTTTTGAGCGGTTTATCTAAAAAAACCGCGCAAGATTTGAGCGGTTTTTGAGCGGTTTATCTAGAAAACCCGCTCAAAAACCGCGCAAGATTTGAACGGTTTTTGAGCTTTTTTTTAGATAAACCGTTCAAAAACCGCTCAAACCGCTCATTTTGAAGCAAGATTTTGAGCGTAATTGTCTGAAAAAACCGCTCAAACCGCTCAAATCTTGCTTTAAATTAGGTAAAAAATCTCGACTCGGGTAACGACAAGGCAATTCGACGTCAGATTTGGAAAATCTCCAGTAGAACCGGCTGAATTTTAGCATCCGCGACTACCTAACGTGCGCTAATTTTGCTCTACCTCAAACTGTACGAAAAACAGGAAGCGAGTTCTGCATAAAGCGGAATCTCTAAATGGATGACAATCTCAGTTCTGTTGAGAGCTCCAAAGTAGCGCTTAAGCTGAATTAAAACTTGATCGATTTTCTCAACAGTTCTAGAAACTTCAATCCGAAACGTCATCTCACATTCTAAGAACAAAATAGAATTCCACAAAAAAGTTATAGTTGCAAGCTGTCTAAGTTCCGGTTGAAAAATTTGTGTCGCATAATAAAAAGGCTCCGCCCACAAGGTGTTCTGCTAGGTTGCTTTCATTCGTGAATCCTGACACAGACAAGTATATAAATAAGGTTTCCTTCCTCTTTCGTAAGACCCCAAGGTTTTACCTATGAAGGCAATGTACTTTCCAAAGTTGGAACTACAGGTCGGTCCTCTCGCTTTTTGTCTTCCTAAACCCGTGAACGACAGAAATCACTGTAACGCTTGTGTGGTTTGACACTATGTGGTTTGAACTTTCTTTTTTTTCAGTCAATTAGGTGGCAGAAATTTAAATTTTTTTCTCGGTTGATGAGTGTTTTCATGTCACTAACGGCGACAACCTTGCGGACTACGGACTCCCCCGATATTAGGCTGAAAGTTGGATAATTGTAACTGGGTCCTCGGGTTTAGTTTCCTTCTAACGAAATATTGACTTTTAACGGTCGTCAATAACCAAAATTGTTCTTACGGTTTGGTTGATGACGTTGTTGATCACTGTAGTTTTTCAGGTAGTGCCAAAACCCCAGCAAAACTGGAATTCGTAACGACGTTTTGGCAATAACAACGCATTATTGGGTTCTGCCAGCGGCTCCTGCTGAGCCAATAACACTTCCATAGCAATAAC